CATAAAAAAGGAGAAAAAGGCCTTTCCAGTTTGTCTTTTAAAGAATGGGGATGGAATTAAGAGAAGACTGAGCTCCATCTAGTGGCTAAGTTTGATCAACTCTTGGAACTAGGAACGGACCAAAATCTGGAAAGCCTTAATTCTTCTAAAAATAGAAAATGGGCTGGGTGTGGTGACTCATGCCTGTAATCCCAGCACTTTGGGAGGCAGGCAGATCACCTGAGGTCAGGAGTTTGAGACCAATCTAGCCAACATGGCAAAAACCCTGTTTCTACTAAAAAATATTAAATTAGCCCGGGCATGGTAGCGGGAGCCTGTAATCACAGCTACTCAGGAGGCTGAGGCAGGAGAATCGCTTGAACTGGGGAAGCTGATGTTGCAGTGAGGTGAGGTTGTGCCACTGCACTCTAGCCTGGGTGACAGAGTGAGATTCCATGTCAAAAAAAAAAAAAATCATGATAAGCATGAATGAGGCAGGCAGATCACCTGAGGACAGGAGTTTGAGACCAGCCTGGTCAATATGGTGAAACCCCATCTACTAAAAACACAAAATTAGCTGGGTGTGGTGGCTTGTGCCTGTAATCCCAGCTACTAGGGAGGCTGAGGCAGGAGAATCCCTTGAACCCGGGAGGCGGAGGTTTCAGTGAGCCGAGATCATGCCACTGTACCATTAGCCTGGGTGATAGAGCCAGAATCCCTCTCAAAAAAAAAAAAAAAAAAAAGCATTCCACAAAAGAAACACAAATGTTTGACAAAACTATAAAAAAAAATTTAACTTCACAAACAATAAAAAACACAAAACCTGGCACATACCAAATGCTAATTCAGTGACTTTTTTCTTTTTTTGAGACAGGGTCTTCATCATACAGACTATAGCACAGTGGCTGGTGTGATCATGGCTCACAGAAGCCTGAACCTTCTAGGCCCAAGCTATCCTTCCACCTCTGTCCTACCTACTGCTACCTCTGTAGCTGGGACTACAGGTACATACCATCATGCCTAGCTAATTTTTAGTTTTTTTTGTTTTTGTTTTTTTAATAGAGGCAAGGTCTCACTACATTGCCCAGGCTGGTTTTGAACTCCTGGGCTTAAGCAGTCTTCCTGCCTCAGTCTCACAAAGTGCTGGGATTACAGATATAAGCCATTATGCTTGGCCCAAGTGATATTTTAAAAATATATACTAATTGATATGTTTTTCCATTTAAGCTACTGAAAATCATGATAAAGAAACATGACAGACTTCTTTGTTTTGTTTTGTTTTTTTTTTGGAGACAGAGTCTTGCTCTGTTGCCCAGGCTGCAGTGCAATGGCACAATCTTGGCTCACTGAAACCTCTGCTTCTCAGGTTCAAGCAACTCTCCTGCCTCAGCCTCCCTAGTAGCTGTGACTACAGGCATGTGCCACCATGGCCAGCTAAGTTTTATATTTTTAGTAGAGATGGGGTTTCAGCATGTTGGCCAGACTGGTCTCAATCTCCTGATCTCATGATCCGCCTGTCTCAGCCTCCCAAAGTGCTGGGATTACAGGGGTGAGAGCCACCACCATGCCCGGCCTCATCAGACTTGTTCTTTTTAACTGAAAGTTAAGGAGTTTGTCAATGTTTCAACACATAAAAATTTAATTTATAGAAATTGTTTACTTTTTCAAAATTAGCATTAGTGAAAGAATAAACAGGAATGTTCTTCCTTATTTACAAAAGTTCCCTGGGACATTAATTATCCTAGCTACAGCTACTTAATCCAAAAAAATTGAAAAGCTGAACCCACCTTTTGTAATTCTTTTATTTATTTATTTATTTATTTTTTTCAAGATGAGGTTTCACCATGATGGCCAGGCTGGTCTTGAACTTCTGACCTCAGGTGATCCGCCCACCTTGGCCTCCCAAAGTGCTAGGATTACAGGTACTAGGATTACAGAGTAGCCTCAGCCTGAGCCACCACGTCTGGCCAACCTTTTGTAATTCTTCACCTTTTTACTTCATTCGGGAGCAAGGAAAGAAAGCCTTCTTGGCAATCGATTCTAGTCCCTATATATATTTAACGTTTATTTTTAAATTTATTTTGAATCTTTAAACAGTCTCTAAAAGTGACTTGTCTAAAAGTGAATATAGAGTACAGAAAACACTTACTGCCCTTTAGCTACAGGGGCAAAAAAGCAGGAGACTGGACCTTGGAAGCCAAGGCTGCTGAACAGTTTTATCCCACAGCACTGCCTGGATCACAGTTTACAAAGTTGTTTTTTTGACAGGGTCTCCTTCAGCCCCCAGGCTGCAGTGAGATGGTGCGAACATTGCTCACTGCAGCCTCAACCTCCCAAACTTAAGCGATCGTCCCACCTCAGCCTCTGAGTAGCAGGGACTACAGGCACATGCCACCAAGCCTGGCTAGTTTTTTTTTTTTTTTTTTTTTTTTTTTTTTTTTTTTTTTTTTGAGACAGAGTCTTGCTCAGTCACCCAGGCTAGAGTGCAATCTTATGATCTTGGCTCACTGCAACCTTCACCTCCTGGGTTCTAACAATTCTCCTGCCTCAGCTTCCCGAATAGCTGGGATTACAGGCACCTGCCATCACATTCGGCTAATTTTTGTATTTTTGTAGCGAGGTTTTACCATGTTTGCCAGGCTGGTCTTGAACTCCTGATTTCAGGCAGTCAGCTCTTTTCTGTCCAACCAATTCCTTCTTCAGTACAGTAGAGTTCCTACTTCATTCTTCTCTCAACATTCTAATTGTTTGGGAGTTTGTGAGGAGTATTTATCTTACTTATTTCCACATTTCAAAGGCCTATGCAGAACAGCTAAATAGACACTGATGAGAAAGTTACTATTAGACAAACTCCAACACTCACTCAACCTAAAGGTCTTAGAAATTTGTTCTGTGACATTTTATTCAAACTACACTAGAGCCCTGCATCCAACCAAGAGTAAGGGCTGAATGACTCCTTTTATCCTAGAGTGCACTAATGTCTGGGATATACAGACACTCTTCAATCAGTGCTCAGATGATTCTGCCTCTAGGAGCAGCAGAAACTAGAGGTAATCTTGTCTTGGCTTACTTGAAGTTGTGTGCTCATTCTAAAATCTGCCTTGCTTACTGAAAGTCCAGATGTCACTGGTCTTTGAGGTCATTAGGCAGCATCCAGTCTTTGAAGCAAAACATTCCAGGTTTTTTTTTTTTTTTTTTTTTTTTTTGAGACGGAGTTTCACTCTTGTTACCCAGGCTGGAGTGCAATGACACAATCTCGGCTTACGGCAACCTCCGCCTCCTGGGTTCAGGCAATTCTCCTGCCTCAGCCTCCTCAGTAGCTGAGACTACAGGCATGCGCCATCATGCCCAGCTAATTTTTTGTATTTTTAGTAGAGACGGGATTTCACCATGTTGACCAGGATGGTCTCGATCTCTTGACCTCGTGATCCACCCGCCTTGGCCTCCCAAAGTGCTGGGATTACAGGCTTGAGCCACCGCGCCCGGCCCATTCCAGGTTTTTGACTCTGCTTCCGTCAATGTCAGCCAGAGGAACTCTTTTCCCTGCCTTGGCACTAGCTGGTCTTGGTTCCACTCTGGCTCCACACCTGGCCTACCACACCACATGATTAATTTCTTCCTGTGTGCCTCTGGCCCAGGCTTGCAAGAGAATACACTCAGAGCACCTCTACTTATTCCTGTCCATCAGTTGCTGGTTGAGTACTGGCACTGCACATACCTGCTCCACAGAATCTTAAACCTTCAGGAGTCTGCCTGCTCACAGGTCCTGGGTTTCTACAGACCTTCTTCATCAAGGGTGGGGCCACAGCTTTGCCCCAAGAGGGTAAACTGCCTCCTTGTTCCTTTACTGGCTTGAGACTCCTAGGCTGATACTAGCTGATAGGCCAGAAGTCTTAGGATGAAAAGAATACTAGAGTCGTCCTCAAAGTTAGAACTTTTGTTGGTGTCTGTGTTCCCTCACTCCTGTTAACTACCTTGGCCCTTCCCTACCTACATTAGTGATTTTGTGATTTCACTGAAGAACTGACCTTAGACAGTTAGGGTCTTGCTCTGTCACCAGGGCTGGAATGTAGTGGTGCGACCTCAGCTCACTGCAGCCTCGAACTCTCCGGCTCAAGCAAACCTCTTGCCTCAGCTTCCCATGTAGCTGGGGCTACAGGCGCGCACCACCATGCCCAGCTACTTTTTAAATTTTTTGTAGAGACAAGGTTTCCCGATGCTACCCAAGCAGGTCTCGAACCCCTGGGCTCAAGCGATCCTTGCGCCTTGGCCTCCAGAAGGGTTGAGATTACAGGTGTGAGCCACCATGCCCGGCCTGACCTTTTGGAAATACTCAGAACTAATTGTCCAAACGGACTGGAACGAAAGAATCTCCTTCCCGATACTGCAAGACAGGGCAAAATTCTTCAAATTTATGTTTGAGGCGATAAACCAACAGCAGTAAAATGAAACCCTCAGGAAGCAATGACAAGAAACCCAGGAACACTCACTTCCTCCAGCCCAAGTGGCAGATGGGATCTCAAATACACCATAGTGCGATGCGTGAGACGCCGTTCGCTGGGCATGTGGAGCATTTCAAGTGCCCCGCAGAGGTGGGCCTGGGGCACTCCTCACAGACACCTCTCCCCACAAACACCCCTCCCGAGGCAACATTCCTGCGGAGCCTGGACCTCCCTTGGTGGACCGGCTCCCGTGGGTCTCTAAGGTTTTTCACCTCATCTCTGGGTGAACTGAAGGCAGGGGAAGAGGCGGCCCCACAGCCTGGGTCCTCAAGATCCGGTCCGGGCTGAGAGGAAGAGACGCCGCCTGGAAGCCACTCATCAAGCAGCTCCGCCGGCTTGGTAAGGGCTGGTCGTTCAGGTCTGGGTCATTGCCACTGGCTCCTCCCTCCGCCCACTCTTGCTGCCCGTACTCAAGAGCTGCTGAACTATCGGCGCGACGGCAACGGGATCCTTAGGCGGGAGGAGGGCTCTGGGCTGCTTCCCCCGCCTTAGCTGCGCGCTTCCGGCGGGGTCGCCGCCACTTCCGCTCGAGCGCGCCTCGCGCTGTGCGCGCGCGGACCCAAGCAAGGATCGGGTGCGCGGCCGGGGAGACACCGCCGTCTCCTCAAATCAGCCGGGCCTCAAGCCGCCGCCGCCGCCGATACCCTGCCCAGGCCTGCGGCGCGCCACCCTCACCTCCTTCATTCCTACCGTCCACGCCAGCCTTGGCGACCTGACCCGCTTGTGGTCTCGAACTCGGTTAGTCCGGTGAAGGCACAGAGAAGCCTGGGTTCCCGGCGGCATCACTGAGATGCTCAGTCCTGAATTCTGCCCTCCATTAGGACTATCTGCTTTGTGGGATAATTTCCTCATTGGTTGAGTCAGTGAGTTGCGTGTCTGCAGAGAGCATCCTATCTGGTGGGTCTTCATCTAGATCTTGCACATTTCTTACTAAGTTCATCCTAAGAATATCTTACAGATAAAGAAACTGAGCTGCAAAGAAGTGTAAAACCAGTAGAAACAGGAGATAGCAGTACAAAGAGAAAAAACAGCCTGACTTTCCTCTATTTTTAATTGATTTGGGGACATTTTAAACTTACAGATAGAAACGAAACATGGGCTTTGTTGACATATCTCAAAACAAAATGGGTGTAACACCTTTAAAATGTAAACAATTATGCTGGATATATTTGTAGTATTCTGAAGTCATTTAAAATAATGGCATGAAGTATTTATTGCCTGCTGTTTTTTGGACCAGTAGTTTCTTTAAGGATTAGTATTCAAGCAAAGGCATAGTGAGGAAATAGGAAGAAAGAAGGAATGCTGTAACAGCGAAAAAGGAAAAGGAGGAGCAGATGAAAAGGGCAGGAAAGGTTTAACATTTACATAACACTTGCTATGCACCAGACGGTTTTAAGCTCTTTAGATGTATTATTTAGTTCTCACCACAGCCCTGTTATCACCTCTGGTTTACAGAGAAGGCAAGTGAGGTCTAGAAAGGCTAAGCAGCTGGCCCAAGGTTACACAGTAAGTGGCAAAACCTTTGCTTGAACACATCAATTTTGACCCAGAGTCTGAATTCTCTCCCCTCAGCCTCCTGAGGAGCTGGGAACACAGGCACGTACCACCTTGCTCACCTAGGCTATTTTTTGTTGTTGTGACAGGGTTTCACCATGTTGCCCAGGCTGGTCTCAAATTCCTGGGCTCAAGGAGTCTGCCTCGACCTTCCGAAGTGTTGGGATTACAGGCGTGAGCCACTGTGCCTGGTCCTAAAGTCTATGCTTATTATTATTTTCTAAAATATTTAATTATTTTTTGAGATAGAGTCTTGCTCTGTTGCCCAGGCTGGAGGGCAGTGGCGTGATCTTGGCTCACTACAATCCCCACCTTCTGGATTCAAGCCATTCTTGTGCCTCAGCCTCTCAGGTAGCTGGGATTACAGATGTGCACCACCATGCCCAGGTAATTTTAGAGAGGGAGTTTCACCATGTTGGCCAGGCTGGTCTAGAACTCCTGACCTCAGGTGATCCGCCTGCCTCAGCCTCCCAAAGTGCTGTGATTACAGGAGTGAGCCATCATGCCTGGCCTGTGCTGCTAATCACCACACTGTATTTCCTCTGAAGGAAGGGTAAGACTCAAATCAACTGGATTTGATGCTACTGAATAGGAGTAGACAAGAAGGGTTTGCAAGGTAATTATTCTTCCATGTGAGAGTATGGGCTAAAATGTTTCATAGGACAAAAATCCCACTAGTGGGCCGGGCGCGGTGGCTCAAGCCTGTAATCCCAGCACTTTGGGAGGCCGAGGCGGGTGGATCACAAGGTCAGGAGATTGAGACCATCCTCGTCAACATGGTGAAACCCCGTCTCTACTAAAAATACAAAAAATTAGCTGGGCATGGTGGGGCGTGCCTGTAATCCCAGCTACTCAGGAGGCTGAGGCAGGAGAATTGCCTGAACCCAGGAGGCGGAGGTTGCGGTGAGCCGAGATTGCACCATTGCACTCCAGCCTGGGTAACAAGAGTGAAACTCCGTCTCAAAAAAAAAAAAAAAAAAAAAATCCCACTAGTAAAGTTCAAAAAGAGGAAACATATACAGTGTACAAATAATTGACATCTGGAACAGGCAGTGAAAACAAATATATGTAAAAAAAAGACAACCCTTCTTTGCAAATCAATCAGTGAATCTTCTTTGCAAATGGAATAAAAAAAAAAGAAAAAGACAACCCTATAGCGAAATGGGCAAATGTATAGATAATAGATGAAGAAGTAAGAGTGAAATAAAACTGACCACATAAAAAAAGATGCTTAAAAAAAAGATGCAGCCGGGCATGGTGGCTCAAGCCTGTAATCCCAGCACTTTGGGAGGCCGAGGCGGGTGGATCACGAGGTCAAGAGATCGAGACCATCCTGGTCAATATGGTGAAACCCCGTCTCTACTGAAAATACTAAAAATTAGCTGGGCATGGTGGCGTGTGCCTGTAATCCCAGCCACTCAGGAGGCTGAGGCAGGAGAATTGCCTGAACCCAGGAGGCGGAGGTTGCGGTGAGCCGAGATCGCGCCATTGCACTCCAGCCTGGGTAACAAGAGCGAAACTCCGTCTCAAAAAAAAAAAAAAAAAAGATGCTTAACCTGCACTAGTGACTCTGGCATGCAAAGCAAAACAATAGAACCATTATCTCCTACACTGGCTAAAACTGAAATTTGAAAATATCAATTTTGTGGAAAAGTGAATATTCTTAGTAGAAGTATAAATCAGGATAGTCACTGACAGGGGTAGGGGTAGATTTGGCAGTATTAATTCAAGTTAAAATATTAAAATTAAGTAATCTTCAAAGTAATACTGATTATAATGAAAAACACTGCTTTAGGCCGGGCGCGGTGGCTCAAGCCTGTAATCCCAGCACTTTGGGAGGCCGAGGCGGGTGGATCACAAGGTCAAGAGATCGAGACCATCTTGGTCAACATGGTGAAACCCCGTCTCTACTAAAAATACAAAAAAAAAAAAAAAAATAGCTGGGCATGGTGGTGCGTGCCTGTAATCCCAGCTACTCAGGAGGCTGAGGCAGGAGAATTGCCTGAACCCAGGAGGCGGAGGTTGCGGTGAGCTGAGATCGCGCCATTGCACTCCAGCCTGGGTAACAAGAGCGAAACTCCATCTCAAAAAAAAAAAAAAGAAAAAGAAAAACACTGCTTTAGACGTTCTAATTTCACTTTCTTATTCTACAGATAAACAGGTGTTCAAAAAGAGGTATGCAAGATATTTAACTGGAAACATTTTTTGCATGATAGTTTAAAATTAGAAAAACATAATTTCAGCAGGTACATAAACTATGGTAATAATTTACTCTTTTGCTAAACAAATATTTGTTGATTGCTTACTGGGTATTAGGCATTATTCTGAACATTGAGGATAAATTGACAGTTATCATTGTGAACTAAAGAAAGTTCATCTTTAGGGTGGGTCAGTGGCCAATTAACCTTCCCCAGCCCAGATCCTTCCCTTTAATTCTTTGTTACATCTTGATAGAATGATTTCAACTTGTTCTGTAAATCACATTGGACTCTTCTCTAATAACTACAGAAACAATTTTTTTTTTTTTTTTTTTTTTTAAAGACAGGGTTTCACCATGTTGGTCAGGCTGGTCTCGAACTCCTGACCTCAGGTGATCTGCCCGCCTTGGCCTCCAAAGTGCTTGGATTACAGGCATGAGCCACTATGCCTGGCCCCCAAATTTTTTTATATGTTGGATCTATACCCTAATTTGAAGGTATAAAGGCACAATAGCGGACTCTAGGAATGAGGAAAGCTGGAAAGGAGTGGTCCATGCTGATACTGACCATCAAGAAGAGCTTGAAGAGGTGTCCCAAATACCCTGATGACTTACTTTTCACTGAAATCCAAATAAATTGGCATCTTAGATATGCTTCCAAAGATTGTGTCGTACTCCCAGAACATTTTTTTTTTTTTTTTGAGACGGAGTTTCACTCTTGTTACCCAGGCTGGAGTGCAATGGCTCGATCTCGGCTCACCGCAACCTCCGCCTCCTGGGTTCAGGCAATTCTCCTGCCTCAGCCTCCTGAGTAGCTGGGATTACAGGCACGCGCCACCATGCCCAGCTAATTTTTTTGTATTTTTAGTAGAGATGGGGTTTCACCATGTTGACCAGGATGGTTTCGATCTCTTGACCTCGTGATCCACCCGCCTCAGCCTCCCAAAGTGCTGGGATTACAGGCTTGAGCCACCGCGCCCGGCTTTTTTTTTTTAATTAAAAAAATTTTTTTGCCGGGCGCGGTGGCTCAAGCCTGTAATCCCAGCACTTTGGGAGGCCGAGGCGGGTGGATCACGAGGTCAAGAGATCGAGACCATCCTGGTCAACATGGTGAAACCCCGTCTCTACTAAAAATACAAAAAATTAGCTGGGCATGGTGGCGCATGCCTGTAATCCCAGCTACTCAGGAGGCTGAGGCAGGAGAATTGCCTGAACCCAGGAGGCGGAGGTTGCGGTGAGCCTAGATCGCGCCATTGCACTCCAGCCTGGGTAACAAGAGCGAAACTCCGCGTCAAAAAAAAAAAAAAAAAAAAAAAAAAAAAAAAAAAAAAAAAATTTTTTTAACATAAAAAGAAATATTTTTCTTTTTTTAAAGACAGGGTTTCACCATGTTGGTCAGGCTGGTTTTGAACTCCTGACCTCAGGTGATCTGCCTGCCTCAGCCTCCAAAGTGCTTGGATTACATGTGTAAGCCACCATGCCCGGCCCCTGAACAGCTTTTAATGAAGGCAGAACTACAGAAAGAGAAACTGCCAGAGAAGTGGTTAAAAAAAAAAAAAGACTTCCAGGGGCTTGTTTCTTATGTTTATGTGGTAAATGCCTAGTTAGGACAAATAGCTTGATTATGGTTTGCTCACATTATCCCTGGGTGAATAGATTCAATTACAAAAGAGATTGATGCCTCAGCCATAGCGAAAACCTTGTCAAGCTCTCAACTTAGACCATAACATACTTGTTTAAAAGTGTGGAGAAGGGGACAAGAGAGGAAACAACACTACAAGGAGTTTATAAATCTAAAGGACGACTTTCTTGCTGCATCTAACTAGTATGTGACTGCTTCTGCACTCTCTTTGATCTATCCTTCGCTTTCTGAATGTAAATATTTTTGTTCTAAAAATTGGGTACCAGGCCGGACGAGGTGGCTCATGTCTGTAATCCCAGCACTTTGGGAGGCTGAGGCAGTCAGATTGTTTGAGGCCAGGAGTTCGAGATCAGCCTGGCCAACATGACGAAACCCCACCTCTACTAAAATTACAAAAATTAGCCAGGTGGTGTCAAGTTCCTGTAATCCCAGCTACTCAGTAGGCTGAGGCAGGAGAATCGCTTGAATCTGGGAGGCAGAGGTTGCAGTGAGCAGAGATCGCGC